GTATATTTGGGAGTTCTGGCCGATCGATTCTAAAGGGTCAGGGCTCAAACTAAAACCAGTGCTTACTGGGTGACCAGTTTCTATTCATTCAGTCAACAAATGTCTACCTGGACAGCTTACCTTAGTCAGTTCAGGCCGCGCTAACAAAGACACCACGCAGACTGAGGGGCTTAAACAGTAGAAACTTACTCCTCAGTTCTGAAGGCTGGAAAGTTCAAAATCAAGGTGCTGGTCAATTTGGTTCCTGGTGAGGACCTTCTTCCTGCTTTGCAAAGTAATGCCTTTTTGCTGTATCATCATAGGTGGAGAGGGAGCTCATCTCTCCAGGGTCTCTCTTTATAAGGGCACTAATTCCATTCAAGAAGGCTCCACCCTCATGACCTAATTACCTCCCAAAGGCCCTGCCTCTAAATAACATCACATTGGGAGTGGGTGTTTCAACCTATGAATTTTTCAGGAACATAACACTAGTCTACAGTATGTCTCCTTTGTGCCAGGTACTGTCGCAGGAGCTGAGGACCCACACAGTCCATAGGGAGCTTATCCTCTGGTGAGCAGGAAAGAGGACGGAGACTCTCCTGCAATGAGGACTGTGTGAGAGGCAGTGGGAGATGGAATGCCACTGTGCTCTATCACAAGCATAATACTCGACTTGCCTGGAAGGAACCTACTAATTGGAAAGCCATGAAAAGTTAAATCCCCATACCTTAAAGAGTTAAATCATGCTTTAAGACAAAGTAGATGCCCTAGGGCAGAACAGCTTAGGAGAACCATACAGCAAAGAAGGCTGATTCACCACATCCATTTTGTACTGAACACACTATGATTACCAAGCCAACAAATGTTTGTCATTAAGAGAAATTTCCACACCAGGGAATGTGCATTCCCATCACAATCGGTTAAAAATAGGGGTACACAGCTATTCAGTCACATGTGGCTCGGAAACCAACACACATGTCCATTTAGCACCAAGCACCTAAGGAGGGAGGAATTCATGTGCTGACTGCCTGAGCATGCTCTCTTGCTCCAAAGCCTACAGAGATCTGGAAGAGCAAGGCTGTTTAAGCTTCATCCTTGGTCAGTCACATGCTCTCCTTCCCCTAAATGCCTCAGATTCCAGCAAAGCTCGTGAGAAGCCTCCAGCACCCCTACACACAGAGATGCACAGAGGAAGCATCAGCCTCTGCTAGACCCTTGCAGCAGTTTCTAGACATGTCCAGTAAAAGGTACTATATATCCTGGTAAAGAAGTGGGCAGTCAAATGTTCCCTTGTGATACTCACTATCCAAAAAGGACAGATATCAAACGCAGTAAAAGGAAAGACTACTACTATACCTTATTTGATGCAAAACAAAGTCAAAAAAAAGCAGACTTGTCAGATCAGACAATATACAATGATACCCCACATTTTGGACACTCACTGTTCTCGGAACCTCTATCTTTCAGAGAGGAACTGAGTCCAGCTTCATGTCGGCAAAATCCCAACCCCTGTCTAGCCTCTATTACCTCATAAGCCACCAGATCAAATCCCTAGGTTTGGGAATAGAGGATTTTACCATGAAATTCCTATATCAGCTTTCACTAAGACTCACATAGTAAAACATTTTGAAAAAGCCCAACAAAACCACAGCTTCTCCAGAGAAAGCTGGTTAAAATAAGAAAAGCATACAATAATAGAATAAGAAAATTGCTGATTTTTCTTTACTTTTTAACCTTCTGTGAAAAGAAATGGTATTTGTAAAATTATACACAACTAGCTGAAGTCTGAGCAGGGCTAAATCCTAACTTAAAATCCTCAGAAATCAAGGTCTCCTCTATGGCTGGGCAGCCCTAAAGTGAAACATTAGGTGAACATTAAGGCTTATGGGCATCAGTTCTTGCATTTGAAAGATGAAAAGGAAGATAAATTGATAATTTCCATACTTACCATCATAAAGATTTTACTCCCACAGCTGAAAAGAAGTAACTGTACAATGAAATTTATCTTTCTTCAAACACACCCCTACTCTAAAACCCTGTTACCCACCACCCTGTTTTTCTTTTCTTTTTTTTTTTTTTTGAGACAAAGTCTCACTCTGTCGCCCAGGCTAGAGTGCGGTGACACGATCTCGGCTCACTGCAACCTCCGCCTCCTGGTATCCAGTTCTCCTGCCTCAGCCTCCTAAGTAGCTGGGACTACAGGCATGTGCCACCACACCCAGCTAATTTTTGTATTTTTAGTAGAGACGGAGTTTCACTATGTTGGTCAGGCTGGTCTTGAACTCCTTACTTTAAGTGATCCACCTGCCTTGGCCTCCCAAAGTACTGGGATTACAGGTGTGAGCCACCATGCCTGTCCTTCTGCTCGCTTCTTCTAGAAAGCCTTGCCTGCATTTCCATTCCCCTTGCTGTATATAGCCAACACTCGGCCTCAGGTATTATCTTAGTCTGTGATCAATTTAATTGTACATGTTAAAATATTCCTCCAATGTCAGTAACCCAAAGGGAAATATATTTCTTTTTTAAGATGGATAGCATAATATAACAAACACTGATACACCTATGACCGAGTTCAAGAAATACTGCAAAATAACAGTGGAAACCCTGAGGCATGAATTCCCAATCACATTCCCACACTTTCCATCAGAGGCAACTGCCACCTGGAAACCAGGGCTCATCAGCACCATGCAGCTCCTCCTCTCCCCACACAACATACATCCTTATGCTCTGCAGCACTGTTCCACGTGATCTTCCTAACCTTTCTATAAGTGGTATTCTCAACACGATCAGTCTGTAACTAATTTGTTGCTCAATTTTATGCTTGTGAGTGTAATCCACATTGACACCTGTATTTCTAGTTCCTTTGTTTACCACTGCATAATATTCCACTATATGAATACACTACATATTTGGCCAAAGACGCTGCTTGATGTTTCATATGCCATGTAGTGCCTACTAGTTTCCATACCACTATGGAAAATGTGCCAGTCATTTTCTGTAATATTCTCCAGAATTCTCACAACCACCTAATGAGGAAGGTATAATTCCCACTAGATCAAAGAGGAAACTAAGGAAGGGAAGTGGTGGGTGCAGCTTGTCCAACATGTGTGAGCAGCAGACTCCTGCTTCAAGTTCAAGTCTATCCAAGTTTAAAGCCATGCTCCTGACAATATGCCGTGTAACCCTGCTTATGTAGATTCAGATTTTTTTTTTTTTAAATGAAAAAAACTAACAGGGGGCTCTACAGTCATCTGGGAAAAATCTGAAACACAACACTCTATTTTCTTTAACAAACACCCCACAGGAAAGTCATTCAACATGGGGACAGCCCATGTGTACACTGAGGAAAAGCCTCTGCCTTTGGCAAAGGTCCCCACCACAGGTCCATTCCCAAGTTCATTCAGGTGCTCTCTAAGTAACCCTGAGTAGGACTGCAACCTGAGTTGGTTTCCTTTGGGGAAACAGGCTGTCTGCACCCACTTACAGACAGGACAAGGGAGCCCGAGAGAACATGGGAATCAGGTCCTTCTTCAGTTGGCAAAAGCTGAGTCGACAAAGCTCTAAGAACATCTCCCAGGAACAGCTCCAGCTGTTAGCAGCTCTGGGGGTCCGAGGAACAGTCCCGAGCTCACAAGGCCAGGTGCTTGCCTGCTCTGCTCTATGTGTGACCAGCTTTGTCACTGCTTTCATACACCCCAGACCAACCCCGCTGCCCTGGAGAAAGCCCAACACGCAATACGGAAGAGGAGTCAGTAAGGGTGGAGACTCACAGGAACCAGGCAGGGAGCAGTGCCTCAAGAAAGGACACCCAGCTCCAGGCCTGCACCCCAGATCCCTCCAAGTGCTCAACGCAGGTGGGCCCCTAGGAGGTGACAGTTTAGTCCCCCGGACTCCCAAGGACAGGGAAGGCCTCTCAGTACCAAGACTCCTGACTCTACTCTCCCACTTCTACACTGTATCTCCCATTGTGTCTGTTTGCTGGAGGATTAACGGAGCCTCAAAGGTGCAAGGCATAACTGGCTGAAGCGACCCCCTCCCCACTCTCCCAGACAAAGCAAGGAGCAAGAAAACAGACCTGCCACCTACTGGCTGCGTGACCTTAGCTGAAGCATCCCTGTCCACTCTGGAGAGAAATGTAGTGGACTGTCTCTAAGGGCCCTCCCACCTCTGACTCTTTCTGTCCATAGTGCTAAAGGCACGGCGGCTCACCCCTGGCTTCCCAGCACTTTGGGAAACTGGTTGGGGAGGAGGGTTTGAGCCCAGGAGTTCGAGACTAGCCTGAGCAACATAGTGAGACCCCGTTTATTAATAAAAATAAATTTTAAAAAATTTTAAATTTATTTTTATTAATAAACGCTTGTGGTCGCAGCTACTTGGGAGGCTGAGGGGGGAGGATCACATGAGGCCAGGCATGGAGGCTGCAGTGAGCCAAGATCACGCCCCTGCACTCCAGCCTGGGCAACAGAGCAAGATCCTGTCTCAAAAAGAATAAATAAATAAAAATAAAACAAATGCACTAATACTGAGCAGTTTAGAGTACGATTCATTTAATCCCAACACCCCATGAGGTAGATCCTACTGCTCTCCCATTTTACAGAGGAGGCCGCTGCCGCGCAGAGCGGTTCACTGAGGTACCAAGGTCACAGACACAGTCCGAAAGGAGTCCCGGGGGTGGAAGTCTACGCTTACGGATGCCTGGGAGGGCTGCACAGGACATCCACGGGAGGTTGGGGGTCGGGAAACATCAGAGAGGGGCCCGAGAGAAGGCGCAGAGGGAGATAATGGGTCACGGTGTCTGAGGAAAGAGACAAGGCTGGGTGGCCACAGCCAGACTGGCCAAAGCCCAGGTAGAGGGGAGGAGACAGGAACGAGGACGGGATGTGGAGAAGCGGGAAAACGCAGGCAGACGTGGGCAGGGGCAAGGAGGCCTCGGAGAAAGGAGGGTGGATGGCGCAGGCGCGCGGCCAAGGCAGGGGGCGCCGGCGGAAGCGCGGGGGCGGCAGCGGGGCGCGCGGTCCCACCTTGAGCACTGTGACGGCTCCCGCGGTGTGCACCTGGAAGTGCGCGGGCGGCTCCGCGCCCGTCTCCGCCGCCTCGTCGGGGCCCTGGTAGCTGAAGCAGGCGTCCGCGATGTCCAGGTGGCCGAGGGGCAGCGCGTCCTGCGGGCTCTTGAAGTAGTAGAGGTAGCAGCGGCGCGCGTCGAACACGAACCAGCGGCTGCGGTAGCCACGCAGCGGGCCCTTGCCCGACAGCTTCTGCAGGTAGCCGCACAGCCGCGCTGGCTCCCGCGCGGGACCCGCCCCGGGCTCCGCGGCCGCCCCCTGCGCCGCGCCCTCGCCGCCGCCGCTCTCGCCTTCTTCCGCCCGGGCTCCGGCCCCGGGCATCCCTACCGCGAGCCAGCCGTCGGCGCCCACGCCCGCACCCGCACCCGCGCCCAGCGCCTCCGCCCCGCGGCCACTGCGCCCCCTACCCCTCCGCGCCGCTCAGCCGCGGCGCACGGCCCGCGGGCGCGCAAAGCAGCCTGGGACTTGTAGTCTCGCCCCCGCCCGCCCACTGGCCATTGCCCCCGCAGACCTGCGGGTCGGTTGCCTTAGTGTTACGTGGGGTCCAAGTCCCCGCCCTGCCGGGTGAAGCAATGGTCTATTTCTTTACGGCAGTGTAGGTACGTGGGAGTGTGCATCTCTCAAAACCCAACGGAGTGTCGGCTTAAAACCCCATTTCACTCTGTGTACCTTGATACACTCTGTGTATCAAGCGTTCTAAAACACTTGATTTTTAAGTCTCCCTCCTGCCAGAGTCTCAAGCTAATATTGTAAAAATGAGACAGCCTATTGCCTGGTGGTGAGTACGTGCTGAGTAAATATTTGCAGAATTCATGGGAGCCAAAGCGTTTTCCTGCCTCTCCAGACCTCAGTTCATTCATTGAATTCAACATATATTTATTGAGTGCCTTCTGAATGCCAGGTATGGCTCTGTAAGCCAGGCCCTGGTGGATACAGCAGTGAACAAACCAGTTATTCTCCTGCCCTCAGGGAGATTATATTCTAGTAAGGCAAAGAAGTGACACAGAAGAAAGCAGACAAGTATAAGGTGTGCTATGTTTTATAAATGCCATGATGGCATGTAAATGATTACCAGTTAAAATAGCACCTAGTACTTATCAGTGGTTTGTAGATTAACTTATTTGAACTCTCACAACCTCAAAAGGCAAATCTATGGCTTTGTAATAGAGCAAAGAGAATGAATAAGATCAAGTATTTGCCAGTACAACAGGGCAACTAGAGTAAAAAATAATTTGATGCACATCAAAAAATAACCAAAGGAGTATAATTGGATTGTAGCACAAAGGATAAATGCTTAAGATGATGGATCCCCTACTTACCATGATGTGATTATTATGCATAGCATGCCTGTATTAAAAAATCTCATGTAACCCAGCCGGGTGCGGTGGCTCATGCCTATAATCCCAGCACTTTGGGAGGCCGAGGCGGGTGGATCACAAGGTCAAGAGATGAAGACCAGGCCGGGCGCGGTGGCTCAAGCCTGTAATCCCAGCACTTTGGGAGGCCGATGCGGGTGGATCACGAGGTCAAGAGATCGAGACCATCCTGGTCAACACGGTGAAACCCCGTCTCTACTAAAAATACAAAAACATTAGCTGGGCATGGTGGCATGTGCCTGTAATCCCAGCTACTGAGGAGGTTGAGGCAGGAGAATTGCCTGAACCCAGGAGGCGGAGGTTGCGGTGAGCCGAGATCGCGCCATTGCACTCCAGCCTGGGTAACAAGAGGGAAACTCCGTCTCAAAAAAAAAAAAAAAAAAAAAAAAAAAGAGATGAAGACCATCCTGGTCAACATGGTGAAACCCCGTCTCTACTAAAAATACAAAAATTAGAGGGGTATGGTGGTTCACACCTGTAGTCCCAGCTACTTGGGAGGCTGAGGCAGGAGAATTGCTTGAACCCAGGAGGCAGAGGTTGCAGTGAGCGGAGATTGTGCCATTGCACTCCAGCCTAGGTAACAAGAGTGAAACTCTGTCTCAAAAAAAAAAAAATCTCATGTAACCCATAAATATATATACCTACTATGTTCCCACAAACATAAAAATAGAATAAATGAAAAGCAAAGTGAGAGGATGAGGTGATGGGGGGTGGATAGCTGGCTGCTCCCCCAGGACAGGCAAGGAGGCCGGTCTGATCCTGTGATAGGGAGCACAGACTCAGATGATTGGAGGGACAGGGGCAACCAGAGATGTGAAGGAAGCCTTCCAGGCAGAGGGACCAGTGAGTACAAGAGCTCACTTTATTCAAAGGAAAAAGGAAGTGTATAGCTACATTTGTGAGGGCCCAAACCAAATATCTCACCCTCATAGATTTGCATGTTTTATATAGACACAAAGACCAAGGTGGAAAACTGACCTTTCTGAGCTGGACAGGGACACAAATTAGACTGCCTGTTTGGAGCCACCCAGGTAGGAAGGGCAGGCTCCAGGGCCTCACCCAGCTCGCTGACCCTCTGCAGGCCCTACATTGCCACCACACGGGTGCTTCTTTCCTGGGGCCTGTCAGAGGTCTGGCTGGGGTGACCACAGCAAGGGCACCTCCCATCGTAGCCCTCTCCAGCTGTGTTTGAGCACAGTCAGCACAGTGTTAAGGACTGGGCTCTGACTTCGTTCTGGCCAGATGTGCCCCCTAGCTCTGCCACTTACCAGAGGCATAGCCTTGGCCAAGTGATTTAACCTCTCTGGGCCTCAGTCTCTTCATTTATAAAATGGGGTTGGTAAATACAAGTAGCTATCTCGTGCTGTTGCTGTTGGAAGGATTGCATGAGAAATGCATATGAATGTGCTTAGCAATGGGTGCCTCACGCATAGTAAGCACTCAGCTTATTATCATCATACAGTTAACACTGACGTCTTCCTCATCAGTCAGCAGATTTGGAGAGGGAGGAATCTAAGAGTCAGACCGGGCCCAGACGAAGGAGGCCAGAGACAATGGTGCTGCAGGAGCGGGGTGGACTGCTCTAGGGAGTAAGGAGTCCAAGTTCACTTTGGGCCTCACCGTGTATGTAAAAGGGGCTGTGATTGGCTTGTGGGGTAGGCAGTCAGGGTGGTCTATGACCTTGAAATATTGTTAGAAAGGGAAGAGCTGGGAGAACCAGGTCTGTATTGGCACAGTACAGGCAGGCAACAAGACAGGGCAGGGTGTAGCCCATCTCTGCTAGCTCTGTCAATGTTAGGAGGAAGTGAGGGTGGCCATGACCTGTGGTCCCAGTGGACAGGACCAAGCCCCATCAGGTATCTCCTGGGGGCTGATGTCTGCTAGGCTGGAGAAAGGCATCCTTCACAGGCACAAGGCACAAGCCCAGCTTCCGGAATGAAAGTTTGGGCTGGCTGGCCAGGGCTAGGCAGATGGGATGGGACAAGGGGCCTCTGCGGCCCGTCCTGGAGCTGCTGCCTGTGCCCCTCAGTGGGCAAGTTGGATCTCAGCCTGACTCCCCTACCCCTGAGCCCCCAATCCTTCCCTGGTCACCCAGCATAGACTAGCTGGGGCCATTTTAAAATATGCTCGCAGGGCTGGACACAGTGGCTCACACCTGTAATCCTAGCACTTTGGGAGGCTGAGGCAGGTGGATCACCTGAGGTCAGGAGTTTGAGACTAGCCTGGCCAACATAGTGAAACCTCATCTTTACTAAAAATATAAAAATTAGCCAGGCGTAGTGGCAGGCACCTGTAATCCCAGCTACTCAGGAGGCAGAGGCAGAAGAATTGCTTGAGTCTGGGAGGCAGAGGTTGCAGTGAACCAAGATTTCACCACTGCACTCCAGCCTGGGCAACAGAGTGAGACTCTGTCTCGAAATAAATAAAAATAAATAAAATGCTTGCAGGCCACTGCCCTCTTCCTTCTGGAGGCCACACCTTATATCAAATCAAACGTGAAAATGCCCTACATCCCGTAATAAACATATACATTTTTTTTTTTTTTTTTTTTGAGACGGAGTTTCGCTCTTGTTACCCAGGCTGGAGTGCAATGGCGCCATCTCGGCTCACCGCAACCTCCGCCTCCTGGGTTCAGGCAATTCTCCTGCCTCAGCCTTCTGAGTCGCTGGGATTACAGGCACGCGCCACCATGCCCAGCTAATTTTTTGTAGCTTTAGTAGAGACGGGGTTTCACCATGTTGACCAGGATGGTCTCGATCTCTTGACCTTGTGATCCACCCGCCTCGGCCTCCCAAAGTGCTGGGATTACAGGCTTGAGCCACCGCGCCCGGCTACATAATTTTTGCTATAAAACTATTGCAGGAATATCCGTGATTGCACTCTCGATATTATCCAATTCTGAGTTCTCATTTTAATTTATAAGTGGCTGATTTCTTGGCAATCGTCATGTCTCTGTGGGAATTTTGGCCAAGTGAGAGAAACCTAACCTAGAAATTGTTCTCAAACGTAATGACTTTTTTTTTGAGATAGGTCTGATTGTGTCTACACAGTGGGTAGCTGGAGTGCGGTGACGCTGTCTCGGCTCACTGCAAACTCCCGCTCCGGGGCTCAAGCGTTCCTCCCACCTCAGCCTCCTAAGTAGCTGGGATAACAGGTGTGCGCATCGCCACGCCCAGCTAATTTTTGTATTTTCCATAGAGATAGGTCTTTGCCATGTTGCCCAGGCTGGTCTCAAACTCCTAGTCTCACGTGATCCTCCCACCTTGGCATCCCAGAGTGCTGGGATTAAGGTATGACGCCATGGTGCCCAGCCCGGTTATGACATTTTTATGATGACTATAAAGGTGACATGTTACATTTGTAGACATTTAATGAAATGTTCATTAATTCTAATTTTGCTCTTTTTCTTGGGTTTTAGAGCGAATAGATTTTTCTTAGGCCACAAACATGTCACAAGCAGGCGGGCCCAGGCACCGAGCCTATTAGAATCCTAAGGGATAAACTGGCCTGGCCCCTGCCTGGGTCTGGCTGGGTCCACAATGTGGCCCTGTAAGGAGGCTGCACAGACACAGGCCTGAGTCCCCAGTGAGAACGGTGAACTATGGAGGCCTCAAAACCAACAGCCATGTCTCCAGAGGGTCCCCTGGAGGCCCCTGAGTCTCTGTCTGCACGACCAGGCTTGGGAAGTGTCCCTAGCCTTCCGAGGATCCCTAGAGCCTCCAGAATCAACCCCAAAACCCTCTTGACTCTCAAGCCCTCCCCCAGATCCCTCTTCCCCACTGACTCTCTCCAGGCCCTGGTGGAATGCTTTTATTTCATGGACAAACTCTTCTTCCCTCATTCCTAGGGCCATGAGCTGAAGGGAAATAGGCAATGTGGCTTTACCTCATCTCTTTTAGTACCTCAGTCTTCAATTTGGACAATGTTTATAGTTTATGTAAATAAATATAGCTTCCGTTCCCCCCAAGGGCCTCCTACATGGAAATTCTGGGGCTTTCTCTGGTGGCTCCTATTTC